AAATATGTTTAATTGAGTAATTTTACATTAAATAGTTGTTTCGAAATATAATTATCAAATATTAAAATATTTTTTATAATAATAATATAATATTTTTAACAATTATAATTAAGGGTGTTTGCAGTGTGGTTTGGTTTGAATTTAATATTTTTTAAATCAATCCAATATATGTTTAATTGAGTAATTTTACATTAAATAGTTGTTTCGAAATATAATTATCAAATATTAAAATATTTTTCATAATAATAATATAATATTTTTAACAATTATAATTAAGGGTGTTCGCAGTGTGGTTTGGTTTGAATTTAATATTTTTTAAATCAATCCAATTTAATTGGTTAATAAAATTTTTAAATCAATTTAATCTATAATTATATAATAATCAAACCAATTCAATTTAAATCGAATTGGTATGGTGCAGTTGGATTGATCGGTTTTTATCATTATTAAATATATGAGATAATGTAAAAATATTTTAATATCAAATAGAAAACATAACTATAAAATATATTAACATCCAAATTAAAAAAAAAAACATAATAAAAGGTATAAATTATAAATAAGTTTTTATACTCTTTTATATTTGTAAAAATTGAAAAACTCTAAAAATTTTTCTTGATTACATCACTAGAAGCACCAAGAACAATAAAAGATGATTTCAAGTTTCTAGCATGATATAAATAATTCTTAAATATAAATAATTCTTAAAGATTAAAATTAGTTTTTTTTTCTTAATACAATAATAATTTAATCACATCTTCTAAATCTCGTTAAAAGTAAATAAAATTTAACATAAATATCACTAAAATTAATTTAAAATATTCATAATCAAAATTTAAAATTTCTAAAGCAAATATCAATAATAGTAGAATATCAAGACTAGATTTATTATATTGTTTTAAGACTTTTAGAATAATATGTTTTAAAAATTTAGTTAGAAGAATCATAATATTATTTTAGGAACAAATTAAAAATTCAAGATTCTAAGAATAAAAGCGCAAACTAATTTTCAGGGGATAGAGTTATAGGTAAATTAAAAATTTAGAATTAGAATTAATGTGCATGATTAAAATAGAAAAATAACTTAAGAAATATGGAGATATTTTATTTTTATTTTTTAAT